AACTTTATCAAATATTAGAGACAAGGAACAGAAACTTACTCTCATCCTTACAGCCCCTACAGTGTTTTATATTTTTAAAATAGGCCTACTAGATATTTGATTTAATCTCAGATTAAACAAGTCCATAACTTACCAAGGTTTGTTGAGAAAAATCAACACAAGAATTTTTTTTTTTCAGGTCAATGATACAACAATGTATGTGAGAGCTCTGTGTCAGGCATCCATGAAGAAGATGAACTACCAAGTTTTTATTTGTTTCTCAAAGGAAAATGAAGAGCAACATTCCATAGACTACGCTTATTGTCAGTGTCCAATTGGGTAAGTTTCATAGACACTACATAATACTTATGATGAGATGAACATTATAAATCAAAATATGTGCTAGAGTACCTGAAAATCTGATAGAACAGTGCTGCAGTATGACTGTAAATGTAGCTTCAAGCTTCACAAAACTAGTACCAGAATAACATTTTTCATACCTTATGTGTTTTTTGACCCAAGGCATTGTTTGGACAGACAGAATGATATGGAAAAGACCTTAACTGCACTACAAGGTCTAAAAGAGATTTTACCCAGAACAGGTAAATGATAATAATCAAACAAAAATAGAATTAATGTTTGCCACTCCTGTATTCTGCAAAAGAATTAATTTTTTATTCCATTAAAGAACTTATATGTGCAAAGTATATTTGAATTTTTAACAGTGGGCCTACAGTATTATATTAATAAAAATTTACTTCATTTATTTAGGAAATAAGACAATGTACTAAAACATGTGTAACTCTATCAATTATATTTTTTAAGGTATGTCACATTTGTGGAATATTCCTGATCCAGTGCCAGATATGTGTATGGAGGAAGAAGTTGAGACAAGCATTAATCCACTTTACCAACAAATGATGAAGATGCTTTATACAGAGGGTAACTGTAAGTAAAATACAATATAATATAAATAAAGTGCACACATTATATAAATATAAGAATATAATATATGTTATGAAGTGGAAAACATATAGTTAACAGTTATTTAATTCATATATACAATTCCATTTTACCAATTATAAATCTTGAATAAATGAACAAATAAATGCATCAATAGTTATGTTTTCTCAAGTAAATAAATGGGCTAATTCCATCCAATAATATATATCATTCATACACCCATTTGTACCTGTGCAAATGAATTAAATAAACAGGTTAATTGGTAGATAACAAGTTATCGCAAACTAGGTAGTTGTTGGTAGTTGGATTGGTTCAATTGGGTGGTTCTGTGTTGTTGTTTTAGGAATTAAATAAAAATTATACAACTCTATTTATACATACAGTAATCAGTTTTCATTATGACGTACATTTGTCTTGAAAATTTCTATATTACAGTACCACCATCCAACATTGACATGGAGCTTGTAAAGTACATAGAAGAATATACCCAAAGCCAGAGGCTTTCTAAAGAGTGGATTAAGATGCACATTGGTAGAGTAACCAGCTCATTGTTTGGGGATGTAATGTCTTCAGGTCCAAGTCCAACATCTTTGATAAAACAGATAGTTGAGGGGTCAAATCTTGAAAAGTAAGTTTTCATAACATATTCATATTGAGTTTATACCTAAAACATAGTCTATATCTTTACACATACCCGCCCCTCCTCCCTCTCGTATGAATATATGTCCCCAATCTGAATCTGCCATATACACAATTCTGTTTATCAAGTGGTCAATTGCGTTTACACACTAATAATGCTATTGAAACCAATATTTAAATATTGAATATTTAATGGCAAGTCATTCATAACCATTTATCTTCTATTTAGGTACACAAACCTGCCTGCAGCTGTGCAGTGGGGAATTGACAAGGAAGGTCAGTCCAGAGATCAGTACAAGAAGATTAAGAAAGTCATTCATAAAGTCTTTGAAATCCAACCAACTGGTCTGACTCTATGTGGAAGCCATGCCTTTCTAGGTGCGTCCAGTGATGGCAAAGTAACTGAAGGGGATAATGTAGGTGAACTGGAAATTAAGTGTCCATATTCTTTAAAGGGTACTCTAATCAATAAAAAAGAGATTCCAGAGATAATGGCCATGGGAGACAAAGCTTTCTGTCTTGAAAATACAAACACAGGGCAAAGACTTAGACATTCCCATAAATATTATGCTCAGGTACAGGGAGAAATGGCAATAATGGGTTTACCATGGTGTGATTTTGTAGTCTGGACAGGGGCAGAAAAAAACAACATATGCATTGACAGGATAAACTTTGATGCCAGCTATGTCACTAAAATGATGCCTAAACTACTTGCATTTTACATGGAGCATATTTACCCTTTTTATTACAAGTAACATCAGATTTTGCTAATTTCTGGGCTTGTACAGAGATATTCCAAGCTGTTTGGGTGTATTGGACACACTGATAACATCGATTTGCACCATTCCAATCAGATATCTGTGGTTCTTAAAGTTCCACTACAATTAAGAGTTTTATGATGTTACTATCGCAAAAGCTGCTAATAAAATGCTTAGGTTGAGTGGCATTGTCAAAAACTGATTAAAAATTGGAATGGTGAAAATCAATGCTATTTGTTTCTCCCAATACACCTAAAAAGTTTAGAAAACCTCATGTTCTGAATTGACAGCTAGGTATTTGGAATAGAAGTAGACATTAAATTTTTTCTACACTTTTGGCATTTATTTCATTTATATTTGTACATAACGTATCCAGTATCTTTAAATTAAATATCAATCAAATAATAACAATGTCTATGAACTATTTTAATCATTATGAACCAGAATAGGAATGAAAATATCAGTAGCTACGACTAGTAGCCTCTATAAAGAAATATTACGTCTTAGAATGATCTGTAAATCTAAATTATCAAACTAGGCCAATAAGACAAAAAAAATAAGCAAACCTTTCTTTAAAGGAATATTACCTCTTAAAATGAATATAACTTTTAAATAGTTCTCAAACTTGGCCAATAAGAGTATACATTCATCAGTAGACTTGCCTTGTGTCATAAATACACAACAGGATCTCTTTAATCTGATTAAAATAAAATTTAGTCATTACTGAAGCATTAGTTTTATGGATTATCAGATTATACAGGGGTTTTGTTGTATATTTATGACACAAGGCAAGTCCACTGATGAATGTGGAGGCCAAGTTCGAGAAATATTTAAAATTTATATTCATTTTAAGAGGTAATATTCCTTTAAAGATGGGTTTGCTTATTTTTTATTGTCAAATTAAGCGAACTATTTGATTAATTGGTGTTTCTAATGAATTATCATGTATTCTTAATCTTATCATTATGTTCTTATTGCATATAATTACGAGTTTTAACCAATCATAAATGTCTGTGTATGTACAGTCTGGATAAACAAAAAAAGATCTTTCGGTAACTCAATTCCCTGGTAATTCTGTTCTAATTTAGCTTATTATGAATTATGTACAAGACAAACTGGTATTTTTCCAATCATTAGAACACCTTTACTTTATATTCATATAAATATTCGCATTTTCACTAAATGAATGCAAATAAAATATATATTTTTTTGCATGAACTATGAAAGAAAAACAGAGTTTATTTGTCTTCTACAAGGGCTACATCAAAATTTGTAAGCCAGCAACAAACTTGAAACACTTTACTAGCAATGGGTGACATAGACAAAGGTAAAACTCCATCAAAAATATGAAAGTTTTTAACCCGCCCAATGCTGCGCTCAACATGTATTCTCAGTTGAGCAATCTCTTGAGTCAGATGAACATCCTCTACTGAAAATTGATGACTTTGTTCTCTAAAAGGTGGTATGTTCAAAGAACATCCTTTCTTACTTAATAGGTCAGTGATAGTAAAACCCTTGTCTGCCATTACAGAATCCCCTGTATCTAACATGTCTAAAAGACCAGACTCTTCAGTTATCTGTCGATCTGACACACGTCCTCCCCACCCTTCAGAAACAAGAGAAATTACACCTGATTGTGTTATACTGACTAAAAATTTCATGGTATTATGGTGCTTATAATTTGAAAAAGTCGACGTTTGTGATGTGAAACTTGAAGGTCTTTGTATAAAAATTTCTGTACAATCAATGATAATACGTGTATTGGGATATTCAATGCGAAATTGACTGGGCATTGTTCTTTGGACAATATCTCTACTTGGAAATGGGTTTAAAAAATGTAATTCTTTGTGTAAAAGGCAAATCCATGTATAATAATATTTAGAAAAAGTTCCAACAGCAATATTAAATCTGTCTGAAATATCTTGAACAAAAAGACCTAAACGATTTCGCATTAAAACAGCTAAAAATTGATCAATGGGTTTTAAAAATGTAGTGTGGACACGTATTCGGTCATTAGATATATTACTTTCACCTGTCCAATAAGACATCCTAGAACATTTATCCTGAAAATAAGTAAAAAGCCATAAAAAAAATACCAAAAGTTGGAAGATAAAACTTTGTTAGACCATCATTGTCAGCAATTTTCGAAACACTCCACTTTTCTTTTTTCAGTTCCATTCTTGCAGCTTTCAATTCTTCTTTTAACCTGTTGTTCTCCTCTATTATCACTCCAGTATCACACTGTGTACCTGAAATATATACAGCACACATTGAGGGTGCAAGCAACTTAAATCTTTACACCACATATCTGCTTAATTAGGCCAATCATCACAACTTAATTGAGATTTGTTATTGTGCAGGTCTCAAGCCCTGGTAAATGAGGAGAGGACTTTTCTAATTAACAATAAAATAATAATTAATCTTCCCTTGGCCTCATTTAGGTTTTTGGAATCGTTGCAGGAATCTGCTCTTTGGGCCCTGAACGTAACTCGGACACACCTATCTCCATGCAAAATTTCAAGTTCCTGAGACACTTAAAAAAGACCGTTTGTTCTTGGACTCTTGGACTTCGTAATTTTTTTCCAATTTTTATCATAGTTCTAGCGCATGGGGCAGGTTATTGGGACATTTTTAAATCTAGGTCAGTGTTCTAACAATAGGGCAAAGGTTTTTGAGACAATTTAGATGTAAACAAAGGTTTTTGCGACATTTTTCCCTCTTAAAAAATCCACTTGCTAAGTGATTTTTTTCTCAGCCCCAAATTGACTTGTAGATGCGACAATTGCACTCTCAGCACCGTTTTAACGAGCCCCACAATCTAGCAGAGGCAGATTTTCCAAAATCTAACTTTTTGACCAAAATATCCTGTAGGGCCTTTTTGGGCTAGTTATAGTACATGAAAAGGGCTAGGGCTAGGTGAGAAAAGAGAGAATCGGGGTGATTTCAGGTGTCAACTTGCACTCTACTCAAACATGTCAGCTGTTAGAAAATGAGTGGCAGAGAACGTTAACTCACAGAAAAGGGACGCGTTTTGGGTTTTAGGGTCTTAAGGTTTTTGCGACATTACTCTTTGAAGATGGGTTGTGAATGACGGGGCAGGTTTTTGAGACATCAAAGGTCAATGTGCTTTAGTTAAGTGGGTCAGTGTTATAACAGTAGGGCAGGTTTTTTACACATTTACTCTTTAAATTTAAAAGGTTATAAATGTAGGGCAGGTTTTTGCGACATTACTTGATGTTTTTAAAAATTTGGGCTGAAATTGAACTTTTTTTAAGGTTTTTTCAACTTTTCCGGATAAAATGGACAGCAGGGATTTCAACAATAGAAATTTTTTTTTTAATTTTCTGACCCTTTAAATTTTTATTTTCAAATTTCTGCATGAGTTACTTCCCGTAATTCGTTCCAAGTAATTCTTTTGTTTTTTTTTAAATAATCACTTGGCATGCCCTAGTCCGGGGGTGAAGAATTTTTTGGGCCTTACCATCTTATTCAGCACATTTTTTTTACTTAAGTCCACATAACTTTTCGATTTTTTAATTGTCTCTTTTACCTACCAAAAATTCAATAAGTGAAAGTAGGTCACACAGCACTCTCAAGCCTATATAAAGGACAGCAACTCACATTATCCTAATCAACAAGAAATACCATGATCAGAACGAGTTTGGAAGAATGGAGGAGACCGAGTAACTCACGCCACACCATCCAGGGCCGAGTTTCACCGCCATGTCATTCGACCCGACCAGATCTAACGAAGAATCAACAACCAAACCAACAACACCGAATCATCCAATTTGATCCAATCCAACTACCAACTACTACGACTACCAACAACTACCTAGTTTGCGATATCAGCATCCGCTGGAAGCGAACGTTAACTTGTCATCTACCAACCATTATCCTAAACCATAATTAGTTCGACACTCGTACTGTGAACAACTAATTAGCTCTCTCTCTAGTCTGGATTGGTGAAATTGGATTAGCGGATTACTGTCAAGTATCAATTAAGTATAACTCCATTAACTTTTGACACCTGCCACTAATTTGTGAGTTCGTTCCTTTTTATTCTTTTCTTTTATCTTTTCTTTGGGCGGCCGACAATTTCTTTGGCGGAAGAAATTCAAGCTGTCCTACAAAGCTTTCACTAGGTTTCGTTTTGTTTCGTTGTTCTCTTTTCATTTTCATACTATCAATTTTTGCACAGTCTGCAAGGCATTCTTGATAGCTATCTTTTATCTGTCTTATTGTATTGTATCTTATATTTTGTATTTGTACTAATCAAACCTTCAATTTCAGCTAAAATGGCCTCCCAACAATCCACCAAGGTTAGCTATGCCGATATTGCGAGTCGGCCAGCTGCTACCATGCAACCAAGGGTAGCAAGGCCGAAGTTCTCCAACATCGTAATAGTGAAGCCAAGCGGGGGCAAATCTTTCGGCAGCACGAAGTCGAAGGTCATCGGCGACTTCATCCGGAAAGAGTGGAAGTATAGCTCTCTTCCGTAGGTCAAAGTCCTGGCCAATGGCAACGTGCGGCTGAACTTTGAGTTCCTGGCAGATGCGGTTTATGCTGCCAACCAAACCGCACTGTGTGGGATGAAGGTGGACTCGGCCATGTCCACCTTCAACAAGACGGAACGGGTCGTCATTTATGGCGTCCCCTCCGAGTACTCCGAGGGTGAATTGCTGGAGGATCTTAAGCTCCACAATCACGCTGTAGAGGGTTTATACCTCTACAAACCTCGGGAGGGCAAGTCCGTTAGGACTGTCCAATTAACATTTGCAAGCGGGAAAGTACCTAATGGTCCTCTTCCCCTTCTTTATTCCAGGTACCAGCTCCACCCTTACATCCCCAAGGTATGAAGATGCCAGAAGTGCCAGAGGTTGGGTCACCAAAGTTTGCTGCGAAAAGTGTGGAGAGGGGCACAGCACCAAGCTGTGTAAATCCAAGAAGGTACGGTGTGTGAATTGTCGGAGTGATAACCACTCCAGCAACTCCGCACAGTGCCCTTCGTTCCTGTCGAGAAGAGCGGAAATAAGGATACAACACACCTACAAGGTATCCTCCCAAGAAGCTCGCCATCACGTCTCGGCCAACACGGTGCCCGCTGCCCCCAAGCCCGTGGTCGAATGTCCCAAACCTGCCCCGGCTCAAACTCCGAAAGGATTCACGCCGGAGTTCAAGGACGAGTCTAAATTTTTTGATTTCTGTTGTAGGTTGGTTGCAGTAGCAATTAGTTCCAGATCCAAGGCTGGTGAAATCAATCCAAAGGACGTCATGGATGCAGTATCAAAAGTATGTGCCGACAATGTCACGAATCTACAACCACCAAATAAGGATACCAAACCAAAGAGGAAGAGATCCAGCACGGATGTTCCGAAGACTGACGTAGTGGGTCAATCAGTGGAAACGCCAAGAAAAGTAAAGGCGGTATCCACGAGTGGCCAACCTCGCCAGTCAAGGAGCATTTGCAGAAGTACAGGCTCCAGACCCGTGACTGAGCGCTCTAGAAGCACTTCGCTAGCTAGACCACTGCCCACTGGCTCAGTAACGGAAATGGACGTAGAGGTTTTTACGGCACCCCAAACCCCATGCTAAAACCATACTGATCCATAAAGTCATTAATTATTTTACATTCAATTTCAGGTTCATACAGCTGGACATCAATGGTTTGAACGTACCTGAACGAAACACCCAACTGGTACAGCTACTACAAAGGAAGCAGTATGATGCCGTTTTTCTCTAAGAGTCCAAGCTCGGTTCAAGGAATAAAGACCCTATCATCAATGGTTATACTTTGATCAGATTAAACAGACCTAATGCTCTCAACCATCGAAGTGGTGGAGGTCTGGCCATCTACATCAAAAATGGTATATCCCATAGTGAGGTTCCTCTGAAAACCATCGCTCCTCTGGAGGCACAGGCGGTATCCTTTACCGACAAGTCAAAGGTTTTTTCTATCGTTAATATTTATCGACCCGAAGTCAAAGGCAAACCTCAACGTTTCAGTGAATATCAGTATGTTTACGATCAGTTGCCCGGGACCGACAATATTGTGCTTGGCGATTTTAACTGGTTAGCATAAATGATGGTAGCATTACTTATGTTGGTGCAATTGCTCCTCTTGGTTCGCATCTCGATCTCCCATTAGTAAGCAGTCGGTTAGCTAAAGACTGTACGTGGGAAGCAACCAGTGAGACCCTTGGAAGTGACCATGTTGTCATTGAAATCACGCTGTCACGCAATGTTGTGAAGGAGGAAGTCATGTGTCAAGGCAAATGGAGACTAGGGAAGGCTAACTGGGATTTCTTTAGGCGTCATTTCACTTGTTCCAAGCTAGATCTGGCAAGGGACGAGGACGTCTCTAGTTTTTCTGGGAAGTTGACTCAGGTTATTACTGATGCTGCTATGAGCTCTATTCCCCGGACTAAGGATGACATTGCACGTAGGTCACCCAAGTTCTGGTGGTCCGATGAACTCCAAGCTACCGTGGATACTCGCAAGCGGGCTCTACGACGGTTTCAGAGGAAATCGGACCGTTATACCAAGGCAGAATACTTAGCGGTCAAGGCTTCTACAGCTGCTCTGTTGCGTGAATCGCAAACAAAGCACTGGCAGGAGTTCTGCAACTCATTAAATGAGAAGACCAACCTAAGATCTGTCTGGGGTAAAATAGACTCAATGCTTGGTAAAAAATCTAATTCTTCCATTCCAACTCTTTGTTACAGGGATTTCACAGAATACAGCAATGAAGGAAAAGCCAATTTGTTAGCCAAGTGTTATGCTGACGGCAGTGCTGAAACCAACCATACCAAAGAATTTCTAAAGAACAAGAAGACCTTCTACACCAACCACACTCCAATTCATCATTCGCCCTTAGAGGATGAACGGGATCTTAACGCTCCCTTCACCCTCGACGAGCTGAAGAAAGCACTGTACAGTAAGAAAGACAGCGCTACTGGTGAAGATAATATCAAGTACAGCATGTTAAAGGAGTTACCAATGGAAGCGTCTACAGTTCTACTAGAATTATTCAACAAATCATGGTATAATGGTACAATTCCGGAAAGTTGGAAAACGGCAATGGTCATTCCTCTACCAAAACCGCAGAAAGATAAAAGTCTATGCAGTTCATACAGGCCTATTTCTCTGACCTCGACTCTATGTAAAACATTTGAGACGATGGTCAATAATAGACTTAGATACCACTGTGAACTAAATGGTCTTATCGATCCCAACCAAAGCGGCTACAGAGAGAAACGGTCAACAATGGATCAAATCGTTCGACTTCAACACGACATGGCCGCCCAACTCGGAAAGAAGAACTACTTCAGTGCAGTATTCCTGGATTTGTCCAAGGCCTTTGACTTAGTCTGGGTTGATGGTTTGCTTTTTAAACTTAATAAACTTGGCATTCGGGGTCGCATGTTCAGGTGGATCCAAGACTTCTCAAGGGATCGCCAGATACAAGTGAACGTCGCCAATTCTCTCAGCGAGAAGCACTCGTTGGAGAATGGCACCCCGCAAGGCTCTGTTATTAGCCCTACCCTCTTCAGCATCATGATCAATGATCTGGCCCTGGATTATGTAAAGCATATAGAGCTCTCGGTTAGCACGGCTCTATATGCAGATGACAGTTCGATATGGACTGGTCACAATGACCTCAATAAAGTTAAATGGCGTATGCAAACTGCTCTGAACCAAGTTGCTAAATGGGCAAACGACTGGGGCTTCATTATTTCGGAAGCTAAAACCGTCGGTTTGTTCTGCAGCAGAAAGAAAGATCACGACAGTATTGACCTTAGACTGAATGGTGTGAAGATTAAGCATGAGAATTCAGTAAGGTTCCTGGGAGTACACTTTGACAAGTGTCTGACTTGGAGTACGCACATTGACTATATCTGTAACCGGTCTACAAAAATCTTAAATGTTATGCGTTATGTTTCAGGTACCACATGGGGAGCAAACAGAGAAACTCTAATGATGATGTACAGGTCACTGGTTCGCTCAGTTATTGATTATGGTTGTATTGCCTATGGTAAAGCAAGTGATACTCAACTGAAGAAACTCGACGTTCTACACATGAAAGCTATACGTATTGCCACCAGGGCAGCCGTAGGTACGAAGAATGAGGCGCTACTTCAGGAGGTGGGAGAGAAACCCCTCTCTCTTCGGAGGGAGGAGCTATCTCTCAAATTTTGGGGGAAACTTCAGTATTTGTCCGAAAGCTGCCCAACGTATTCCAGCATCAGAAGATTTACTCGTGTCGGAAATAACCAGAAGAATCGGAGTATTTCTTACGGGCAAGCGGTCACTGATCTATTGAGAGAGCATCAGCTCGATCAAGTAACGATCCTTTAACGACGCCTATCGGCTACTCCGTTTTGGAAGGTTACCAACCCGACAGTCAACACCCAGCTGATCCAGAGTACCAACAAGCACGAGAACCCAGTGGGAGCAAGAGCTCGCGCCGACCATTTGAAGATCTACACCGATGGTTCCAAGAGTAGTACCGCAACAGGTTACGGTTTGTGCATCCCAGCAAAAGGCATCCGCATCAGTAAAAGGATCCCCCCGCACTGTTCAGTGTTCACAGCAGAACTTTTTGCCATCAGGGACGCGGTAGCATGGCTGTCCGTCAATCACACGGAGCATGCCGCGATTCTATCCGACTCGCTAAGCAGCCTCCAATCTATTTCTCTCACCTCTTCTAATTGCAGGTCAGAAGTTATTTCCGAAATAAGAAGAATGATCCACAACTACCAAACCAACAACAACCAGAAGATTGAATTAGTGTGGGTTCCATCGCACGTCTCCATTCCTGGCAATGATCAAGCAGACCGTTGTGCAAAGGAAAGTCTGAGTCTGGAGGATATCGAGCCTGTAGAATACTCCTACTCGGAGTTCTGCAGTATCGTATCTTCAAGGATCAACCAGAAATGGTCTGACATGTTACGGAACCTCGACACCGCAAGATACCAGATTGATCCGAAGATACCAAACCAAACCAAACCAAACCATCCATGTGTAGCCATCTGCAAAGTGGCAACCAGACTCCGGACCAACAACGTACTACGAGACCATCAGTTCAACACCATTAAATGTCGCTGCGGCCACGTTGCCACAAGGTCGCATGTCCTCATTCAATGCACTGAACTGAAACCCGCTCGTAAGCCACTACTAGAGTACCTGGAAACCAACGGCATACCACTCACCATACAGAATGTTTTGGCTACCAACAACTACCTAGTTTGCGATATCAGCATCCGCTGGAAGCGAACGTTAACTTGTCATCTACCTACCTACCTACCTACCTACCTACATTATCCTCACTTGCAGTTGAACCTTCAAGGCTCTAACGTCCTTCGTGCTCTGCATTCACTTCTTTACGAATTTACAATTTTAGAATAATACTACACACTCCCTTACATATAACATAATATAATATAATAATATTTGCGTCTTTTTGAGCTTGGTGTATGTATATCTTATGATCTATTAGATGTAGAACCTTGATATTTGGAATACAAGTAGACACTTTAAATATGAATTCACCTATGACAAAAAAACATATGTGGGTGTGGCACATCCGGGTTGAATTACTAATTGTTTACATTTTGGGGCTGGGGCATAACTCGCATAGGATGCCTTTGTTCAATAAGAGACTTTGCACACAATTACCTCATCCTTTTGGCCAGTTTGTGTTAACAGCTCAGTTGTTTCAGCTTTATAGTTTCAAAAAAGGAACGGGTTTTAACATTTGGATATTTTCATTTTTCGATTTTGACCTTTGTTGACTTTTGTTGACCTATATCTTTTGACCTCTATTATGTAGGAACTTTTGGACATTTGGAATATAACGTAACATTTTGAATATTAATTAACCTATTCAAAAAAAATTGAGGTGGGCGTGGCCCTTCCGGGTTAAATTTCTCATTATTGACATTTTTGGCCAGGGGCATAACTCGCAAAGTATAGATTTATTCAAAATGGAACTTTGCACACAATTACCTCAAATTTTGAGCAACTTTGTCTTAGAATTTCAATTGTTTTTGCTTCATAGTTCAAAAAAAGGAACAGGTTTTGGAAATTCAAAATTTTCAATTTTTGACCTTTGTTGACCTTGACCTTTGTTGGATCAAACGTCATTGGCATTGGCTATCTATTTATACTTTTATATTTGCTGTCCTATGCCAAGTTCCGGTTTTATAGTTAGCAATTTGAAATTTTAATGGCGTTTATCTCTTGATCTTGACCTTTTTAGACCTTCTCCTTTACAGGATCAAAGGGTATTGACCTTGGCTATCTGCTGATACTTTCATTTGTGAGGTCTGACGTCCACTTCCGGTATTAGAATCTTCTAAAAAATGAACATTTATCAACTTTACACTGTTCTTGCGCTTGATCTAATTATCGTCGAAGGTTGATTTTTTTAGGGTCTTTTGCATTTTGCAACATTTGCAAAGTCCCACTCTGTGCCACGATCATTAAATCTAGGTCATAGTTCTAACAATAGGGCAGGTATTATTGACAGTGGTTCTAACAATAGGGCAAAAGTTTTTGAGACATAAAAATGGCTTTTAAAAAATTTTGCTGAAAAAAGAGTGAAAAAGTTGCAAATTTTGGGTGACTTGTCCAAACCTGCTATCTTGGAGACTGAAAAGATCAAATAAAGTCTATTTGAGAGTCAAATATGCCTTTTTATTGACTTATTTTAGGGTTAGATAGGGTAGGGTATATCAAGTTTCGGGGAGTTAAAGGGAAGAAAAGGCATATAAGGGAGTGAAAAGAAACAACAAGTCATTTGAGAAAAGAAAGCCGTATGATGGAAATAAGGAAAGAGAATTATAGAGATATGGAGAGGGGGAGAGGAGGAGAACAAGGAGGGCGCATGTAAAACGGCAGGAGTGGAGAGAATTTTTCGAACGTGAGGAGGAGGCTGAGAAAAGGAGGGTGGAAAGGATAGCTATGGGGTTTAGGGTTTTGTCGTGGTTAAATGAGGCTGAGGGGGATAGGGTGGAGGAGAGGAGGAGAAGGAGGAGGGCGGATGTAAAACAGCAGGAGTGGAGAGAATTTTTCGAACGTGAGGAGGAGGCTGAGAAAAGGAGGGTGGAAAGGATAGATATGGGGTTTAGGGTTTTGTCGTGGTTAAATGAGGCTGAGGGGATAGGGTGGAGGAGAAGGAGGAGGGCGGATGTAAAACAGCAGGAGTGGAGAGAATTCTTTGAACGTGAGGAGGAGGATAAGAAAAGGAGGGTGGAAAGGATAGATTTGGAGATGAGGGTTTTTTTATGGTTGGATTCGGTTGAGGGGGTTAGGGTGGAGGAGAGGAGGAGAGAAAGGAGAGAAAGGAGAAAAGTGAGGGAGGAGGAAGATTCGAGAAGGGAAGAGAGGAGGGTACAGAGAATACAAGGAATAGAAGATTTAAGAAGAATAGATGATGAAGAAGAAGAAGAAGATGATAGGATGTGTTGTAAATGTTTGCTCTTGTAATCAGAAAAAAAAAATAAAAAAAAGTGTCTAAATAAGACAAAAAAACAAAAAAATAAAAAGATAAATCTGAAAAAAAAAAAATAAAAATAAAAAGATAAATCTGAAAAAAAAAAAAAAAGTTTAACTCAGCCATGATAGAAATATCATGCAGGTCTCAAGCCCTGGTAAATGAGGAGAGGACTTTTCTAATTAACAATAAAATAATAATTAATCTTCCCTTGGCCTCATTTAGGTTTTTGGAATCGTTGCAGGAATCTGCTCTTTGGGCCCTGAACGTAACTCGGACACACCTATCTGCATGCAAAATTTCAAGTTCCTGAGACACTTAGAAAAGACCGTTTGTTCTTGGACTCTTGGACTTCGTAATTTTTTTCCAATTTTTATCATAGTTCTAGCGCATGGGGCAGGTTATTGGGACATTTTTAAATCTAGGTCAGTGTTCTAACAATAGGGCAAAGGTTTTTGAGACAATTTAGATGTAAACAAAAGTTTTTGCGACATTTTTCCCTCTTAAAAAATCCACTTGCTAAGTGATTTTTTTCTCAGCCCCAAATTGACTTGTAGATGCGACAATTGCACTCTCAGCACCGTTTTAACGAGCCCCACAATCTAGCAGAGGCAGATTTTCCAAAATCTAACTTTTTGACCAAAATATCCTGTAGGGCCTTTTTGGGCTAGTTATAGTACATGAAAAGGGCTAGGGCTAGGTGAGAAAAGAGAGAATCGTGGCGATTTCAGGTGTCAACTTGCACTCTACTCAAACATGTCAGCTGTTAGAAAATGAGTGGCAGAGAACGTAAACTCACAGAAAAGGAACGCGTTTTGGGTTCTAGGGTCTCAAGGTTTTTGCGACATTACTCTTTGAAGATGGGTTGTGAATGACGGGGCAGGTTTTTGAGACATCAAAGGTCAATGTGCTTTAGTTAAGTGGGTCAGTGTTATAACAGTAGGGCAGGTTTTTTACACATTTACTCTTTAAATTTAAAAGGTTATAAATGTAGGGCAGGTTTTTGCGACATTACTTGATGTTTTTAAAAAATTGGGCTGAAATTGAGCTTTTTTTAAGGTTTTTTCAACTTTTCCGGATAAAAGGGACATCAGGGATTTCATCAATAGAAATTTTTTTTTTTTGATTTTCTGACCCTTTAAATTTTTATTTTCAAATTTCTGCATGAGTTACTTCCCGTTATTCGTTCCAAGTAATTCTTTTGTTTTTTTTTGGCATGCCCTAGTCCGGGGTGAAGAATTTTTTGGGCCTTACCATCTTATTCAGCACATTTTTTTACTTAAGTCCACATAACTTTTCGATTTTTTAATTGTCTCTTTTACCTACCAAAAATTCAATAAGTGAAAGTAGGTCACACAGCACTCTCAAGCCTATATAAAGGACAGCAACTCACATTATCCTCACTTGCAGTTGAACCTTCAAGGCTCTAACGTCCTTCGTGCTCTGCATTCACTTCTTTACGAATTTACAATTTTAGAATAATACTACACACTCCCTTACATATAACATATTATATATATAAAAATTGAGTTGTTTTTTTCATATTGTTTATGATATTTGGTTTTTTATTCATACTGTTGGTTTTTTATTCATACTGTTTATGATATTTGGTTTTTTATTGCTTTTAGGCTTAGGTTTAGCCTCTTGGATTTTTTGTCTCTTTTCTCTTCCGGTAGTCATGACCGACAGCGGCATTGATTCTCAGAATATGTCTTCTGAAGAAAATATCACTTCTGTTGAAAATGTTGAAAGTTCTGAAGGTGGAAACCTCTCCGCAGCCAAGAAAGTAGAAAACAAGCCCCGGGCACCTAAAATCTGCCCACTGTGTGGTGCAATAATAATCCAGTTAAAACGTCATTTTACTGGAGTCCATAATTTGTCTGATAGAGATGCTGCTGTTTTAAGCAGCCAGGGCGTGACCGCCAAAACCGATAAAAAGGAGTGCCCGACATGTGGTAAATTCGTCACCGAATTGGGCCACCATCTAATTAGAACCCACCACATGTCGACCACCGATCCTGAATACTTCAGGATGACCAGAAGGCAAAGTAGACCTCGCACTCTTACACAGGAGGAGGTAGACGTAGAGACAGAGAGGGCACAAGGTCAGGACGAGGAGGAGGAAGATGACGAATCTGAGAAACCGAAACTCCACGGACGGAGAAACAAGGGTCTTGCTGCAGGCCCTGTCTTGGAAACCCTCGAATTATTTTTTCAACACCTTCAAAGGGTGGATAGGAAAGGCTTGAGTTTAAAAAATGCAAAACAACATAGAAACCAGGTGGAAAATATCTGGTTGAATTATGCTGGTGAACCAAGCATTGATAACTGGTCTAATCCAATCACTTACGAAAGCCAAGGGTGAGAAAATTTTGACACCCTCCACATTGAGGACATATAGTTTTTCTGCGAAAATGTGGGTTGAATATGTTAATATATTGAATGTGTCGTCTGCTATCAGACTGGAGAGGACGTCTACTATGAATGTAGGCTGCGCATGCTCATTGAAGTATATTTCATGCACGAGCTTCACTCACGTGACCAGGGTAGACCGACGCCGGACATCTTACACTCGAGTGAATATGTATTGCACGACATGTATTGCTGGCTTTTATAATAAACTGTATATACATTAGATGTGATAATTTACCTTAACAAATGGTAGCAGAGCGTGTAACGAATCTACGGATGTTATAAGTATTAGATGAAGCGTAAGTTTTATGAAGATTTGTAAACTTTGAGCGACAGTGAAGTGAGAAGAAAGTACTTTGAAGTTGAATTTGGAATGGCGGCCAAAAAGATAGTGGTATGAGCGAAAGAAAACGAAGAGACGTATATATTTTGGTGTTTGGATCTTTGTGTGTACAGGAAAATGGAGAAGAAGAATATACAGCTTCCACAAGAAATCCTCGCTTTCCGTCTACTCAAAAGAGCCAACATAACACCGGAAGAACGATTATTGGTTTTAACAGGGATGGATTACAACAAGATTGATAAACTGTATGAAGATGCAAAACAGTCTTTGAGGAAATTTAAAGGTGACACATGTCCAGGTCAAGTAAGTCAGTTTAATCCAGCCATAAAACTTGAATCTGCTTGTGTAACTGGAAGTCGAAATGAAGAAGCTTTCTTGTCATCTTATAATAGAGGCCCATTTAGGGAACCATGGTGTAGAGACGATCACTCGCATCGATCGAGAAGTAATCCTCCGGGTCACTTTTCTAGGTGACGAGGAACAAGACATCCAAAAAACTATAGAAGGTCGTACTCGCAGACAAGACAGTCAAACCCAATCGGCCATAATGGCAAAATTATGACTTGTAAGTCCTGTGGGTCATTTAGACATCTCATCGCGCAATGCCCAGATAGTTGGGAAAACCTGGCTAGAGTAAACGTTACTAATGAAGAAAATGTAGTTCTTTGGACAGGAAACAAGGCTGAAAATGTTGCGAAATTAGGCGTTGAAGCTCAGAACAGTGTGGTTTTAGAGAGTGCTTGTTCCAGTACGGTGTGTGGCAAGACATGGTTTGACAATTATGTGAATTCCCTTGATACTGGTGAAAAGTCGAAAGTAGTAAAAGCTAACGGAAGTAAGATATTTAAGTTTGGTGGAGGTACATGCCTGAAATCATTGGCAATGTACACTATACAGGCAACATTAGCTGGACATGATGTACTTATAAAAACTGATGTCGTTGAATCGGACATTCCTTTGCTCTTATCCCGTAAAGCTATGAAAAGTGCTCAGGTAAAACTAGACTTGGAAAATGACACGGCAGTTATTTTTGGTGAGGAAGTGATACTTAATTTGACCTCGTCCGGACATTATTGTGTTCCGATTGACAAATGTGATAAACTTAATGTAGAGAGTGTTTTTGCTATTAGAATTGATGAAAGTGACTACAAAAGTCAAAAAGAAGCACTGTTGAAACTTCATAGACAATTTGCCCACCGCCCACCAATAAATTAGTAGCCTTATTGAAGGATGCAGGATCATGGCGTCACTGTTTCCTGGACGTTCTCGAAGTTATATATCAGGAATGTGATCTGTGCAAACAATACGTCAAGACGCCCCCAAGACCAGTTGTGTCGATGCCCATGGCATCTAGATTTAATGAAAAGGTTGCTATGGACCTAAAACTTTGGCGGGGTTTATGGATTTTACATATAATTGACATATGGTCGAGATATACAGTGTCTTTATTTATTGCTAGAAAACGCCCCTGTGATGTGATAGATGGACTGATGGGACGTTGGGTGGCTGTGTTTGGTGTTAAGGGAGGAATTATGACTGATAATGGTGGTGAGTTTTCGGCTGATGAAGTACGAGAGGTAATGTCTAGTTTGGATGTAAAGTTTCTACAACGGCCGGACAGAGCCCCTTTCAAAACGGTCTATGTGAGAGGGTTCATTCAGTGACCGACATGATGCTCAATAAGCTAGAGGCCCAACATAACAATGTTAATAAGCAGACTCTGCTATGCTGGGCGAATATGGCGCGGAACAGTTTGCAAATGTGGAATGGCTTTAGTTCGCATCAATTAGTGTTTGGCACAAGCCCTAACCTCCCTAACTTGATGACTGATTCCATACCAGCACTGGATGGTCTAACAAGCAGTGAACGTTTTGCAGAACATTTGAATGCCCTTCACTCGGCTAGAAGAGCATTCATTGAAACTGAAGCAGATGAAAGAATACGACGCGCTCTCAGAAACAAAGTTCGTGAATCGGAACAAGTATTTGTAAATGGTGACCAGGTGTATTATAAACGGGAAGGCAAAGATCGCTGGCTTGGTCCAGGCAGTGTAGTGTTTCAAGACGGTAAAGTGGTTTTTGTAAGACATGGCGGTGTATTCATTCGCACTTCTCCTAATAGACTGATTAAGAAAAACAGTGGCATTGCGATAAAATCAGACACCAATTTGAACATTGAGAGTGCAACTGATACCACAAAACAGGACATTAACGAGATTCGTTTAGATATATCTGCTCCGCAAGATAATGTTCAATGTGTACCATCAGAAACATTAGCCAAAAATGATGGACTTTCTAGTGGCTGTGGTAATGATGCTATTGGTGTTAATCATAAAAATTTGCGCCCTGATGATGTGATAGAGTACAAGATAGATGACTCTCCAGATTGGATACAGGCTACAGTGTTAAATAGAGCAGGAAAAGCAACAGGTTCTTATAGAAATAAGTATAATGTTAGAGTTGAAGAAAGTGGTGAAAAGATGAGTATAAATTTAGACCAAGTTATATGGAAGAGAAGTAATGAAAATGTCAATGTTGTTATGGTGCCAAGAGCTGACCAGAAGAATCCAGATTGTGTGAAGGCTAAGCAGAAAGAACTAGAAAAGCTGAAAACGTTTAAAACCTATGAAGAAGTTGAAGATAGAGGACAGCCTACCATCTCAACTAGATGGGTACTGACACAGAGCGGTGGTGAGATTAAAGGTCGACTAGTTGCTCGGGGATTTGAAGAGGAGGATACATCCCAAATTGACAGCCCTACTGTAGGAAAAGGTGCTTTAAGAATATTTCTCACCATAGCAGCAAGTCTTTCCTGGACAGTTAAAACAACAGATATAAAATCTGCATTTCTACAGGGACGCAAACTTGAGCGAGATGTGTTTATTTCGCCCCCACCGGAAGCAAATGTGGAACATGGTACTATTTGGAAACTTAATCAATGTCTCTATGGTCTAAAAGATGGTGCTAGACAGTTTTACCTATCTGTTCGTGATGAATTACTGAAGTTTGGCTGTCAACAACCCAAGCTTGATCCAGCGTTGTTCTACGTTTACCACGATAGTAAATTGAATGGTTTGATCTGCTGCCACGTAGATGATTTTTTACATGCTGGTGTGACCAATTTTGACAAGGAGATTATGGATAAACTGAGGAACAGATTTCTCGCTGGTAAAGTAGAGGAGGTCATTTTTAAATACATTGGATTTAAGATTATACAGAGCGCTGGTGGTATAGTCATGGACCAGTCCGAATACATGGAAGATTTGGAGAATGGAATGCTGTCTCCGCAACGGGCATCGCAGAAAACAGAAACTTTGTCGCATAAAGAACAGAAAACTCTTAGACAACTAGTAGGAAGAATAAATTGGGCGGTACAAGGGTCCAGGCCAGATGTTGCCTTTGATATGATAGATCTGAGTACAAAATTGAAAACTGGTGAAGTGAGTGACCTTGTGCGAGCTATCAAAACAATCAATAAACTAAAAGGAACGACCGCAAAAGTCTTATTTCCAAAAATATCCGAAAAATGTGAAAATTGGTATTTGATTGTCTATTCAGATGCATCGCACGCAAATATAAGTAATGGAACCGGAAGCTGAGGTGCGCACGTTGTGTGGTTGATGGATGACAGTAACAGATGCTGCCCCCTCCACTGGAACGCAAACAAAATAAAAAGGGTGGTACGGTCAACGATAGCAGCCGAGGCCTTAAGTCTCCAAGAAGGCTTAGAAAGCGCGTATTACTATAGAATGCTCTTAGAAGAAATACTTCATTTACGAGATAAAACCATCCAAATCATTGCAGTTATTGACAATAAAGGTGTTGTAGAAGCAGTGCACAGTACAAAGCTTGTTGATGATAAACGTTTGCGCGTTTGACATTGCTGCTATACAGGAAAGTCTGCGTTTGAAGGAAGTTAAAACTATTCGATGGTGCGCTGGAGACCAACAGTTAGCCAATTCAATGACCAAACAGGGGGCTTCCGGTAGCTCTTTGCTAAAGGTTCTTAACAGTGGAATGATGCCAAGTGACATGTTCTAGGCATGGTATTTTGTGTGGGCATAATAATCCCAATGAATGTGAGTCTATCCTTTGATCATTCATATTATTTGTGATGTTATTCTGTGATATTATGGGGCAGAATAATCCCCGAGAACTTGAGAATAGTCAAATTCAATGATAGTACTCAGATTGTGAATGGTATAATCTCCGCATTGTATTGTATATACTAAAAATACAAACCAATATTTTATTATTTTAAAAAGACAAAAATAGTTATTTTTATTATATATTTTGCATTTGAAATTTTTGTTTTAAATTTCTTGTGCTTAAAAAAAAAAAAAGAAAAAGAAAAAAAGAATAATATAATCAATGTTAATATATTGAATGTGTCGTCTGCTATCAGGCTGGACAGGACGTCTACTATGAATGTAGGCTGCGCATGCTCATTGAGGTATATTTCATGCACGAGCTTCACTCACGTGACCAGGGTAGACCGACGCCGGACATCTTACACTCGAGTGAATATGTATTGCACGACATGTATTGCTGGCTTTTTTAAATAAACTGTATATACATTAGATGTGATAATTTACCTTAACAGAATATTTACGTGACAACCAACTTATTACATCCGATCAGAGGCAGGAAAGGGAGGTCAGTTTTAAATATGCGGACGCCAACCTTAAAAGGCTTGTGATTGTTCAAAAAGGGCGTTTGAGAGAAAAGACTAAAAAACTCATATTTGATCCCGCCGATTTTTCCGACATTAGAAGGCCTATAGTCAAGGCATCAAGGCCTTGGAAGATGCGCCACTGGGTTCCTACCCCTTACAGGGATATTCTTGCCGTACTAATGTACGAGCTCTTGATCGGTTCGGGTCGGCGCTGTGGGGCAGTACTCAATTTAACTGTTGGGGAATTTAGAGATGCCAGATTTATTCCCAAATCCAAGTGTCACCTCATCGAATCAAGCAATCATAAAACTGCTATGAGCGGATCCGCTCAAATGACGGTCGAGGAAGATAAATGGTGCATGTTTCGCAAGTATCATGATGCTTTCAGGCATCGGGCTCTCCCGGAAGAGGTTTTCTTTTTGTTCAAAGGGAGGAATCCTTTAGAAGAGACGCCTTCATCGTACATGGCTAATGTCCTAAATTCCAGATATCGAAAATTTTTACACAATATGGATAAATCCGTGGCGCCTACCAGTTTCCGGAAGTCAATAGTAACCAACTTATTGACATCCGACCCCTCGATAGCTCCCGACTTGGGAAAAGCCATGAACCATAGCACCAAAACGCAAAGGCTACATTATCAGCAGGACCTCTCTGCAAACCGAGCTGCAGAGGTCGGCAAAATAATTAGGAGCCGTTTGACTGGTCGTCCGGCTCCCACTGCCACTGTCACAAGTGGACAGTTGGAGGAGTCTGAAAAGTCTTCATCATCACCCACCACATCCCCATTTCATTTACGCCCTCATTCTCCCTATAGGACCCCTTCACATTCACCATCAGCATCACCACCACATTCCACCCAGTCATCATCACAGCCAGCAGCTTCTTTCCCCATTGAACTTAGCCCAGTTTTAAACTTGGAAAGGTTTGTAGTAGAAAAGGTATCATCTCTTACTCCCGAGGCCCTTCAAAGTGCCCCAATAGAGGATAGCCCCCTTTTCAAAACTAATTTAAAAAGGAAGAGACCGATGTGCTATGATGACGAGGAGGTGACATCATTATCCTCTTCCTCGTTTACTATTCCAGCCTCATCCCTTCGACCATCTTCATCTGTTCCACCCGCATGCTCATCCTCATCCCCCTCAACTAAGTCACCTTTAGCCCTTTCCGTCAAACAAGTCCCTGTGACAAGAATGAAGTGGAGCCCAGAAGAGGAAGAAGTAGTAAAAACCCACTTTTCTGGATTTATTAATGGCACCAACCCATTAGTAATTAAACATGTCCGAATTGTAAAAGATGAAGCTTGTCCGAACGCTTTGAACAATAAAACAATAAAACAGATATATGACAAAATCAGAACATACATTAGACAGAAAATATTTGAATTTTAATTATTATGATTATCATCATCATGATTATCATCGTCATCATCATTTTATTTAAAAAAAAAAAAAGTAAAAAAGTGTCTAAATAAGATATAAAAAAAGCTAAAAGATAAATCAAGAAAAGCCAAACAAACTAAAAGATAAATCAAAAAAAAAAAACAAAAAAAACCTGAAAGATAAATCAAAAAAAGCCAAAAAACTGAAAGTTAAATCTAAAAAAAAACCAAAAAAACTAACAGATGAATAAAAAAAAAACACCTAAAAAAAAAAAAAAGTTTAACTCAGCCATGATAGAAATGTCATGCAGGTCTCAAGCCCTGGTAAATGAGGAGAGGACTTTTCTAATCAACAATAAAATAAGGAAAAAATTAGGATTAAGGGTCTTGATATTGGGTTTTCTTCTGTTCTTATTCTGAAATTAGAAAAAATAACTCGCCCGATGGGCGAGAAGTATAGTATCTGTTATGTACTGATTGTTTTTAGTTTACTATGAACAATATTATCATTTAAGTTCTTATTTTTTGAATATGCAACTATCATTTTCTGCTTATAGACATGGGGGAATTTCTCTTGAAGGCTCTTATAGTGGGCATGAACTATCTTGCTTGCTCGATTGCTGGTTGTATTAAACGGGACAACAAAGGGTGCTATGCGTACATTATGATGAATATTTAGTCCTGTAGGTCTTGCTGTATTCAATGTCTCAATCCAATCCCTAGATTGACGGAATTTGGTAGTTTCATCTTCGGGCAAGTCAATTTCTATACGCTCAATTGGGATTAGGGTGAGATCGTCTATTGAATGGTCGTCGAGGTTGAAATGATTAGAAACAGGCTTGTCTTTCTTTAATTTGATGTCTGACCTATTAAAGCGAGTTCGTAAATTATTCTTAGTTTCTTCTACATATTGTTTGGGGCATTTCTTGCATGAAATTAAATATATTACATTCGAATGTTCACATGTTAGATGTTCCTGGATCGGGTACCTTTTATTCGTAGAGTTGCTTACAAAATAATGAGTTTCTGATATAAAGGGACATGTTTTGCATCTACTGGACAAACATGGAGCACTTCTTAAACCTGGAGGTACTTCGGCATAAAGTCTGTTTTTAGCTGCTATCTGTGCTAAGGTGGAATTTTTTATGTTTCGTAAAAATCGTTTAGAGTACCCACGCTCTTTCAGTTTTGAGAAAACAATCGTACAGGCTTGGTTGAAATCAGAAGATCTTGTACAAATTCGATGAAATCGTAAAACTTGTGACTTAATTATACCAGAAAAGGTATGTTTTGGGTGAAAGGAGCTCTTGTGCAAGAGTTGATGAGTATCAGTTTCTTTGAAATACACTTTAATATCCAGTTTATTTGTTTCTGCTATGGAATCTCCCTTAAAGACTGTGGTATCGAGAAAGTCTATGCTTTTGTCACTCACGTTTGCGGTTAGTTTGATAG